TACTGAGCCAAGGAGCCAAGACTGGTCACGGAATCAGCAGTGGATCTGCCAAAGATCATTACGTCCGTCTTGTCCTCATTGAGTTCTGTACATCTAAATAAAATGTTTTTTTTTGTTCTAGTAACAGAAACAAACTTTTAAGATATAACTTAAGGTGATCAAAACTTGTTGTTTCAATGATTTAACATCTAACCCTCACCCCCTCTCAGATCATCGCTCCTCCAGAGAGGAAGTACTCGGTGTGGATCGGTGGCTCCATCCTGGCCTCACTCTCCACCTTCCAACAGATGTGGATCAGTAAGCAGGAGTATGACGAGGCAGGACCCTCCATCGTCCACCGCAAGTGCTTCTAAAGAACCCCACCTGTCTCCGGGTCTATGTGCTCTGCAGCCTCCCCTCCGTTTCGGGCTTCAGCACCGCCTTTGTTTTAACCTCACTGAGCACCAGCTACCAGACCCCAGGTCAGCCCTCCACCACCCAGCCACAGGACTTCCTGTGATAAAGAGGTAGAAAGATGCTGAACGCTCCTGGCTGGATCAGCAGTTACAAGGGAAGTGATGTTGTCTTTAATGCTGGACTTATTTGGTCATATTAATGAATCAACCCCCTTATTTTCACCTTCAAACTGTGAATCTGCAGCTATGTCCTCCCCCTGTAGCACAGACCCTCACACCAATCATGGCCTACCCCTTCCTCCCCCCCTCTTCCTCCATGTTGGTTCTGATCTTCTTTCAGAATAAAGCTTGAATGTTGCTGGGGAGCAGAGCACACTTGCATTGCATTACGATGATGTCACAGCGTGATCAGGAGGCTCCGCCTCATAGACGGTGTGTAAACATGACCATCCAGAAAGAAATAAAGAGCTCCAATAAAACACAAACAGGTGTGTTTTTTGTCTCTTTCGTGTAACCATTAATCATCTTGGTTGTCATAGAAACTATTTTGAAAGTCTTCAATCTTAAAGAGCCTTTACATCATGAACGGTAATATAATGCTGGGACCAGTTCAGATGTGTGGGCAACATCAGATCTAAGCCAACCTGATAAATCTTTTTACAAAACATTAATAAATCATTTATTTGCATATTCATTTTACAATTATAGCTAGGTTGACTAAAATGCTTTACAGCAAGTAAGACATGACAAAAAAAAAAGGAATAAAAGAGCATAAAGATAAAAAAAAAAATCATGTTATAAAAAAACTAATCAAAGAATGATGATCTGAAACAGAAAATTTGGCAGGGAGTAAAAAGCTGAAGCTTTAGATTTTAATTTAGTCTTTCTTTACCTGCTTTAAATGTCTAACAAATACTTATTAATACTAAAGCAACATTGTTTAGAATTTGTACAACTAGATGACTATTAGCTGTGCTGATTCCATCAACACCTTTGTTTATAGATGTTGGAGCTCAGCTTGTTTTCCAGTGTAGTCCTGTTTCTCTGACTGTGACTAACTGGATGTGCTCTCTTCATCCTCTGACATGGGAGCTGGCTCGGAGCTCGTCTGCCTGGCTGTGTGTTTCCTGGACGGGGCCGCCTTTTACAGCTGCTTTTTGTATCTCTGCTTCTGTCTCCTTGAACCCCAGTTGGCCTCAGCAGATGGCCGCTCACACTGAGCCTGGTTCTGCTGGAGGTTACTTCCTGTTAAAAGGGAGTTTTTCCTCTCCACTGTCGCCACAAGCATGCTTAGTGTGAGGGATTGTATTTGAGTCAATGAATCGATACAATCAACTGGTTTTCCTTAGATAGAAAACTTTGCATCAATTATACTGTACGATCTGGTTGAATTGTAAAGTGCCTTTAGAAGATGTGTTGTCAATTGGCGCTATAGAAATAAACTGAATTAAATTTAACCACTTTAGTCTAAATTGGTATGACATGAGTTCAATAAGGAACTCATTTCAAAGCTAAAAACTTTTGTGCACAGCTTGTAGAGCTTCATAAATTCTGAAATTTATAATTTTAGATATATTCATATCAGGATTATAGACAATAATCAAACTCATAAAAGATCTGATTCATTTTGAATACCATCATATATGATATTCATCAAATCAATACAATACTAGAAAAGCATTTTCTGCCATATTGTGACCTACACCTATAGATAAAACTCGCAGATGATCTAGACCATCACCATTTTTTAATGAACCTGGTAATAATTTCCTTAAAATCCTTTCATAAGTTTATAAATAAGGCCCAGCGTGCATCTGCCAGCCTCTGGTGTTTGTTCTGCTCTCACCTTCTTCATTCACTCTGCTTTCTTCTTTGATCAGCAGATCCAGACTCACCTTTCCTGTGTTTTTATCCTAGCATAATACTTCTGGACTTATTTAAGTCTGATGCTGAAGCTGTCAAAAGTCACTGCTGCCACCCTCTGGTTTAGATGGGAACTGGTTGTTTCACCAAGTGATGTTAAAGAATCCTTTAAAAAAAAAAAATCTGCATCCAGATTATGATGTGGATCATCATCATAAGTTAATGGATTGTTCCTTGGACACAAATAAATTCATTCTTGGTTAAAAGCTAAGGAGAACACTTTTTCTTCTCTTTTAATGAGTTGGTCTGATCGGCATAAGGGCCTGCACCTGGTAGGGGGGGATCTCATGCCAATTCCGCCCTATATGGCAAAGAAGCCTTGGGCAGCTGCCCACGTTGCTGATATCAGAAACCGCGACTGCCTGCAACTGAAGGGTGATCTGTTCAAACGTCAGCTTTCAGTGTTGTTTTGTACTTGAGCAAGACACTTTACCTGCATTGCCTGCTGATGGTGGTCAGAGGGCCCGGTGTCACTTTCTTAAAGCACCCTTAATTCTATCTTTCAGAAAATTGTGAATGAAATGAGGTTTTCAGCATGTATTTTCCCATTCAAATCTTTATTAAAAATAAAACAATAGAACCATGTGCAACTTGAACTTTCAAAGTAAAGCTCAGAGATGTACTTCAAATGAAAATGGAAAGTCTGTCACAGTTCAGTTCTTTACAGAGCACAGCTTGTAAATACAAAGTGGGCTGAAAAAAAGATCAAATTTCCCTCATGTCTCACCTCTAACGTCATGTTCATCAACAAATGCAGACACAAATACATCCCAAAGAGATGCAGCACATGTTTAACTAGATGAAGCATGTGAAATCAGAAGCTTCGACAAGGATGAGCAGCAGTTTGCGTTCATCATAAATTATTCAGTTTAAAAACAGCGTTCAGACTCACTATGACACAGCTGATGAGTTTTAGCGCTGCAGCTACTGAAGCTCTGCATTTTGCAAATTCTGAATACACCTCACTCTGATTTACAACTCCAATGACAACTGACCAATCAGCACACACAAACAGGAATACATTTTTGTTTTTAAACATCAAGTGAGGAAAGATCAGTTAGAAACAGGCAGAGGAATTTGCTCACATCCTCAATGCACAGCTGCACCACTCCATGTTTAAAACTTTAAACACAAATGAAACATTCAGGTCAGGGAAACAGAGCAAGACTCCATAGTTAGATCACCTTTCTTCATCAAAGCTGTTCTCCCTTTAAATAATAATGTAAATTTCTTCTATTTTGTCTATTTAAAAAAAGGCTCTCCATCACAACCTGCTGGTGAGATTAGAGCATTTTCTACATGAAAGAACCAGATGCATGGATGAATAACAAAATAACGGTTAAACAAGATCAGGGAGAGTTCAGATAAATATGATTCAGCAGGTTTAACAAACTTAGTGTGATTCCAAGATGAGGAGAAGTCATAAAGTTGGCCTCTCTAATGTTCATGGAAGGTTCTGCTCCATTTAGTTAAAGGGGTTTTCCTGCAAAAAGCGTTTACCTGCGTTGCTGTTTTAATAGTCTGGTGTATAGAATATGTTAGGATAATTTCGTAAGGTCTATCTGATTTCTAGTCTATTTCTGGGCTGTCTGATTGATTTCAATCTATTATTTCATTTCTCTTTTTTTCCATTTCAAACACAAAGTCTTAAACCTCATTTCATAAATCATTTAAAACGGCAAAACTTTTAAATCTTTCATCGGTCTTATCAGCAGCAACATAAGGTTAGATTGAGAGAGGAAACGCTGTTTAACAGTGTTAAATATTCCCTTATGGCAGCCCACTGCTCCCCGAAGGGATGGGTTAAATGCAGAGGTAAATGTCTCCAATGGGAGATCAATAAAGTTAAATTATTATTATAAACATCTTAAGACAACTAGCAAAGGGAGTTTAAAGGGGCGCAGTCACGTACTGTGACTTTATGCATTTTTACACCAGTAGCTCAATCTGGCTGCACACATATGGCTTCAGTTTTTATTAACTTCTCTTTTAGCACACAGAGCACTTCAAATATATGTACTATTACAAGACCATGTGACTGGAGGTACGAATGCGTGAAGCAAGTAAACAGGGCGCCTTAGTAGAAGCTATGTATATTATGTACACAAGAGAAACAATAGGATGAGCATGGGTGCAAAAAGAAAAGAAAAACTCAACATTAAGTGTGAAAAAGCCCCCAAAAATATACTTTATACAATTTTATCACAATCCAACGTTACATTGATTTGTTTGGATGACAATACAATGTTGGCTTATCAAAAAGTCTGTCACCATGGCATCGCCACCAAATTTAAAGGTTTGGGATCAATAAAAGACATCATCTCACCATAAAACCATTTTACTTTGATATCAACTCAAAAATAAAAACTGAGTTGAAGAATCAATTCCTACGCTCTAAAAGGCATCAGGCTTTTAAAACAAAACAGCATTCTTCTGATTGTTAAAATAAAACTAACACTAACTGATGTCCTGCTCGCCATTAAGATGCCATTTTATTGGAACATTAAGCATCTGATTCATGTGGATTAAAAGTTCCACCCTAATAGAGATGAGACATGCAAAGAGCTCTGAATACAGCATTGCCAAAGTTTATTGAAGCATAAGGTAAAGCTGCCAAGTTGATGTATGCGTGCGCACACGGCTTAATACTGATGCTAGTGATAGCAATGCTATTCTTAGGCTGATACTGAGTTTATACAGTATGTAATGCATCTGGATATTTGCCTTCAAGTTTGGTTTGTTTTCATTTGTTAATCAAAGCTACTGGAAGATGATGCACAACAATATTTGTGTCTGCTGATGAAGTGTGGTGCAAAAATTGTTTTCAGGCTCTAAAAAGGATAAAGCAAACACTATCAGGAAGGCTTGACATATGCTATATATTCCTGACAGTATTCGAAGTTGAACATATGCTTTTTCCTGTTTATCTTTATAGTCATAGTATTGGCTAAGCCTCTTTTAATCTAAATGGCTGCTTGGATAAACACAGAGTTCAAAATTAAAATCGAATTGCATACAAATAGCTTAATTGCATGAAAAACCATAAAAGCATACAATGAGATCAAAGAAAAAAAATACCTACAAAAAACTATAGAATGGGAAATTAACATTTTTTTAACCAGATTAATTTCTTTTTCTCTGCTTCCTGCTGTTCTGTGATACACAGAAAATGAGATGTAAAGCTTAATTGCAGACGATGCTTTCTATACACGACAAAACTATCATGACCATTTTTAAATACTGTTTTTTAACACACCAAATTCATCTGAGCAAACATGGCTGTGTAGTGATGCAGTACTAGAGATCGACCGATACATCAGTCTAACCGATCCGATACGTGCTGTTGATATTTTGAGGACGATTCTTATTGCTTTTCCTTCCATCATTTACTTGATTAAAATGACAAAATTTTAAACAACTTAAACAAAAATCAATTAACAAATCAAACAAAGCATAAAAAAAAGAGACAGTAGATGAAAGAAATGGCAAAACATGTCCTTCACATCATCAAGGCATGCACGTATCGACTCGTACCAGAATAAAATGCAAATATCACCAATAGCAGACCAAGAGTTGCCATAGCAGACCATAAATATAACAAATTTATGGCACAGTCTATCAGGCTGCAGTTGCCACGGTAACCAGTATGTGTGCATCGCTGTTTGCGACCTGCTGAGTGAGGTTGCCAAACTAAGAAACTGATGAAAACAGCGTGTCGTTTGGAGCCGGTCACACTCGGACTGAAGCTGTTCTTGACGGCAGATTCTCATTTAGACGTTTGACCAAGTAGCTCTAGAAGCTACAGGCAGCAGCATTTACAGCATTGTTAATTAAAGCCCTGAGTACTGATTGCAGGCAGATCCAGATGCAGGTTTCTCTCTACAGGGTCGGCCTTTTGGAGGTATAACCTGGAACATAAACATGAAACACCTGCAGACTGACTCTTTATAAACTACAGCTAAAGGAGTCATAACCTGCAATTTTACATTTAAAATCCTTCTGAATCGGTCGTTAAATAAATGTTTAATCATTTTAAGGAAAAATTAAAACATGAATACAGCTTATTTGTACCTCTTTTTTTTTCCTCACAATGGTACGCACAAGAATTAGACTTGTGTGTAAGTGCCTTTATGTCGATGCAGCATTAGCAGCATTAGCAGCATTAGCAGCGTTAGCGGTTTGGTCTCTTAGACAATAGGCAAAAAGTTACGCAAGTACCAACAATTAGTGACTGCCTGCAGGTGGGTTCATGATAGTTGGAAGCTCTACTTGTTCAATGGTTTCTTATTGACTAAAAAAACTAATCACTTTTGAAGTTTTCCTACACGGAAAAGAGAACTTTTGAGACGTGTGTTTAATTCTTAATGAAGTCATGACAATTTCCTTCCTTAGCTTCTATTTCTAAATCAGTGATACCACATATTTCTTCAAATATATAGTTTGTATCATCATAATTCCGGCTTAAGGACCTTGCAACCAAAATTGGACTTTGTGGAGAGCACACTCCCACTCAAAAAAACAAGAAAAAAAACACAGACTTTAGGATTGTTCCAGGTTATGACTCCTTTATGTTCTTATTCCCCACACAGATGGTTGGTCTGATCAGATCAACTGCAGGTTTCTGAGCTGTTCAGGGGAAAAACAAATAAAACTGCAGAGTAAAAAAAGAAAAAAGAAAAAACAAATAAACGACAGTTTTTCAAAATAAGATAAAAATATTAAAGGGTTAAAATCCCTCTGCTGTGTTTAAAACATATCAGTGCAGAACAAATACCGGATTTCTGGTTTCACAGCAGATTCAGGAATCGTATTTTTTAAGTTCATAGAGCAGAAGCAAACACTCTCATCCTGCACTTTTCAGTTTAAAGGCACTCAGTTAGTCCCACTTCTGAGTTTGTTTAGGTGCAGTAAACTAATTGTCTACTGCATCACAGACAACAGGCAGAATAACAGAAACCCACACATGCTGAGGCAGCAGGTTCACAGTTTCCTCTTCAAAATAAAAGCATGGCAGTAAACGGGAGGCAGCGGCTCCTCTGTCACCTGAGGTCAAACAGGTTGAGCTTGTAGTCCTTGACCACCACATGTTTGCAGACCTGAGGAGAGGAGAGCGGATGGAGTTATGATGGTAGCAGGTGAGTCAAACTACATTAATCTGGTAATTAAAAGTGATCAGAAAATCTTCATGTATATACGAGGGGCGTTCAATAAGTAGTGCCCCACACCCACTTCCAGATGTTTGATCGAGCTGATATTTTGCATGCAATGTTATTTAAATCTCTATATATTAAGTAGCAAATTACAGCTGTGAACTATTTGTGGTTTCTGACTTATAGGCGTTTGAACTGAGTAAAGTCTGAAATGGAGCCTGTTGAGTGTCGAGCAGTGATCTGGTTTTTCTATTGGAAAGGACTAAAACCACGGGAGACTTTTGATGAAATTAAAGTAACATATGGTGACGATGCCCATTATATGACCTTGCAAAATGTTTTACAAGGTCATATTATTGGACATCATCACTATAAGTTACTTTCATTTGATCAATTCTTCCATTCTGTGAGTCCTGTCCAATGCTAAAACTCAGACGTGACTCAGTTTGAACACCAGTAAATCAGAAACCATAATTAGTCCAGAGCTGTAATTTGCTATTTAATCTATAGAGATTTAAAACACTTCATATGTAAAATTTCAGCTTGATCAAACATATGGGAGCAGGCCAGGGGCCTTAATTATTGAACCCCCCTAGTACATCTACAATACAAAACTAGGGAATTCGTTCAGTCATTCGCAAGAAAAGCAGCAACATGTTCTCACCGTGAACAGAGGAGGCTCCTTTGCGTGCGGATGGAAACCTTTCAGTCTGCATCCAGAAACTTCCAGCATACCCGCACCGGTGAGTCTGAACACACCCGTACTGAGAAACACACACAGCGTCAGGAAGGAGCCTTAAAGGCAGCATGGGACATGTAATCCAGTCATTGTGCACATACTCATTATGCTTTGGAGCACAGACGATGGCAACAGCCTCCGGCAGCATCAGCTGGTAGGAACAGTGAGTGTGGAGGTCCACGCTGGACAAGAAAGCTGTCTGGGTGGGATGGGTCTGAATGCACAGGTAAGAAAAAAGTTAGGACTACAACACAGGTGGAAGGACATAAAAACAACCAACCGTTGCAGAAAATCTATTTAACTAAGGTTCTATGAATCCCAGACGATCGTTAGAGGGCGTTGTTGAAAGCACCGAATGTTTAGCCTATTAAACTAGCCCCACCCGCCAGCGGCCAAAATCATTTTTGCCTGTGAGTTGGTCTAGCCTTGATCAATGCCCCAGGCCCTAAATCTGGCAGGCCAATCACAACAAAGAAATGTTTTTTGAATGTCTGGATGCAAAGCGGGCGGGGTTTTGAGGGTGTGACGACAAAGCTGCACGACGCTGGAGAAAGCACAACAGTAGCATGCACTGCAGCGTTCAATAGGGCGCTCCATTGAAAGTTAAAAGTTCTCTTTCTGTTGCTGTTGTTCAATAAAAGTACGTTTTAAGATAATTTGAGATGAGAATATATATATATTTACTGGTGTTCAAACTGAGTCACTATATGGTCCATTTACCGATTTAATGCATAAATAAAAAAATCTATTTCCGAAGTTAGCCAGCGGAGCTCCAAGGCTAACGGCAGCCAGGGCTAACCACAGCCCGTCTGCAGCAGGCTCTCTCAGCATAGTCTCGTGGGAAGGACCACTCGCTCTGATGGCGATTTTTTACTCAGCTTTGGAATCTCTTTTGGAAGGATAAGACTTGGGGGTTTTCATTGAAACGTGGGCTGGAGGAGGTTCAATGCTCATAAATTTTTGAGAAAGAAGTATTCGCCGTTTTACCGACAAGTTGTTTGTTTACACTCCCCCACCAGCTTCCTGTCGTGTTTACTACATCACAATCAGTTGTGCTCATTGGTCAGAACATTGGCTAGTAGGCACAGACAGGGTTTGAAAAACAACGGGTCATCAACAACCTTTTGATGTCTCATTCATCGGGGCCAGACTAAATAACACCTTTCATCTCCCATTTAGTGTGGTTCATCAGGTTACTGAATGTTTCCTTCGTACATGTGCAGTTTGAGTAATTAATTATACTAAGTAACTCACGTGTGACACCCTGCGCTCTGTTCCAGAATCTTCTCGCTGAAGTGAGGATTTTGTTACTGAATCTCAGGCTGTCATCCACAATTCCTTGGTGGTTACATAAGTAACTTTCATTCCATTTCACCCATACTGACCGTGGTGCTGGAATCACTGAATCACTAATGCCAACCACATCATGAAGAATCTTGAGCATATACACCTCACTAGGAGGGACCTGTCAAACCTAGTAAAAGAACCTGGCCAAGGGGATAGGGCAGCCACATTAGTGTTGTAGAACCTGGTGAATTTGCTTGGAGAAGCCAATGATGCTGCAGCCTCTATGGCCTCCAGCGAAACCCACCATAAAAGCAATACCAGGAAGCAGAGATGCTCCTGGGGAAGGGGGCCTTTACTCTGACTGGCAGTCGGAGGTGTCATGCACTGTGGGCGTAGTGGATGACATCACAACCACAGCCTCGCTTGGATCCTCTATACCTCACAAAAAGCTACTCTGACCATGCTTAAAACCCCCTGGGCATAAAAGCAGCGTTGGACCACAGGATAACACCAGAACAATCTCATTGGAGACATGTGGGACTAACAGCAAGGGTATGTAGCTCATCAACCCTCTTAGCTAAAACAATGGCTAACAAAGGGGAGTCTCATCTCAGAGCCACTTGAGGTACATTTGCACCAATGGCTCAAAAGGGGAGCAGCACGAAGTATTGACAACCAAAGGCAGATTCCAATCAGGCACTCCAGAAGCAAGCTGCTTAAGCAACCTACGAGCCCCGCACATTAAAAAAGACCAGATAATGGCCCCCACTGGACGGTCATCAACAGATTCATGATGAAATGAGATTGCTGCAACAACCACCTTAAGGGTCGAAGGAGAACGACCCTTATCAAGTACAAAAAGAAGAAACAGAACAGCTAGCACTGGGCAAGAAATTGTGTCTTTATTGCGGAAGGAGCACCACTAAGAAAATATAAGCAATTTACTGTTGTATTGCTATTATGGTGTCAGACTGTGACCACAGATGAGTCAGTCCAAACTAGCACAATATTCCCCTCTAGAAAAGGCACAAAGCACCAAAGGGCTATGAGCAGGCCACACAGCACCAGAACATTTATATATGTTGGGTGTCCATCCATCCATCCATCCATTTTCTGACACGCTTAATCCCAAGCGGGGTCACAAGGGGTGCTGGTACGTATCTCTCAGCTGTCTACTGGCAAGAGGCAGGGTATACCCTGGACAGGTCATCAGTCCATCGCAGGGCAATGAGAGTGCTACCATTGACCCCAAACACCGCCAACTGCTCTGCGCTGCAACACAGTGCCCCAGCCGGTGCGACTGGCATCTGTGGTGAACACCTCCCAGCGAGGCACGATTATTCCCATAGGGACGCCCTTGGACACGTAAGTCCTGTCTCACCACAGGGCCAGAGCATGAAAGCACATCCACATCACTGTGAGTCTGTGATGCCTTTGCAGGATGGTTTCCAGACAAAAGCTGTTGAGCCACCTTTGAAAAAGGCGCAGAAAGGGCAAACCCAAGGGCACCAGAAGTGACAGAAGTCAGTTTGCCCTGCATCTGCAGTAAAGTGACATAGGAAAACCTCCTCCCCAGCCTGAATGGACTGACTAGCTTCAGTATGTTGCCCATCATGTGAACAGACATACGAGCCAACATGGTTGACGAGTCCGACTGCATCCCGACATAAGTGGATGTGTGAGAAAGAACAAGGCAGCTCTTCACCAATTGACCTTGTGTCACGTGTTGGTTCCGTTAGGTTTTCTTTTGAGCATTCAGTTTTACTTTGCTCCATGTTTTCTAGTTTTATTAGTTTAATTCCTATTTTGTTGTGTGGATATATTTAAGTTCTTAGGTTCTCATTTGTTGCTCTCTAGTGCCCTCTTGTGTTGGTGTCTTTTTCCCAAGCTCCTTTCTAGACTCCTCCCTTCACACCTGCTCCCAATCAGCTCGTTAGTCCTCTCTTTGTTCAGTTTCCCATAAATGCTCGCCTTGTGCAGTTCCTCGGTGCTGGCTCCTTCTCTTACCTCATCTCTCCTGGCCTTTCCCTGACTCCAGGAGCTCTTTTCCCCTGATGTCTCCATGGTTCTGGTTAAGTTTTACATTTTAAGTTGGATTGTGGATTCCTGCCCCTGTTACCTGCCTTCATTCATTAATTAAAGACTGCAAGAACACACCTCTGCCTCTCAGGCTCTGCATTTGGCTCCTCGAACCTCTACCAAACCCTGCCCACCTTGAGGCCCAAATGTGAAATGACAGGCAGCAAGAAGCAGCAAGTCATCCAGGTCCAGAAGAACCCTGATGCCTGACGTCTGCAGAGGAGAGAGGGCTGCTTCTCACCCTCAGCAAAATAGCTGGCAGAAAGGAAGCACCCTAATGTTGACCCTGTTGGGCAAACCTGAGAAACGGTGATGTTCTGCCGCAATAGGCACATGAAAGTAGGTGTTTGTCAGATCAATTGATGTAGACTAGCGTCCTTTCATAACTCCCTTAACTGCTGATTTCGTCAGCATGTGAATGGAAAGAGCTTAGGGTACTGATTGAGCTCCTTCAGGTCAAAAATGGAAGGACGGGCCCTAGGAGGGCGAAATCACTGCAGCTTCAGCCATTAGGCGACATGGCGTCCAGCAACCAGGAACCAAGGAAAGTATGGCCAAAAAACCTCAAAAGCTTACGCTATACAAGGCAAATAGAACTAGAGGCACAAAACACCCGTTCCTGGTCAGGGTGAGAAAACTAGGGATGGCAATTTCACAGCCCCAAGAACCAATGAACCAATTTGACACAACTGGCCAAAATTAGGACTTTTCTCGGCCAGTGCTGCCAAATATGTAAGTGGGCTGAACCTACAATTATTTGAACACATTAATAAATTGCCCTTTAAGTAAATCTGATAGCTTAAATTATTCAAACCAACTCTACTCTCATATAGTTCCCAAAGTTCCTCATGTTCCTGCTGTGGTTCTGATAAATAAAGATGATCATATTAAAGGAGAAGCATCAAAAGCTGTTTAGATGTGCCGTGTGAAAAAATATCTGTTATAAATTAATCAGTGGATGACTGTGGGGGGTATAGATGTGTCTGTAATGTAAGTGTGTTTGTGTTTCTGTCTCTTTTTTAACTATGTGCATGTAGCAAACTATTCTGAATCAGTTCAAAATTAGACTTAAATATAAAATTTCTTTCCCTGTCTTTAAATAAGACTGTAAATGGAAAACCCGTGGTTAGAGCCACGATTCTGCTGCATTTAAATACTCCAGCAGTATTGAAACGCCAAGATTATTTGAATTTACTGTAAAGCTCAACACAGAGTATGACATAATGAGGCCTCGCTCAAAGTGGTCACATGACTGAGGTACACTCAAAACACTCAGCGACACTTTTGCTTCAAAAAGGTCGAAGCTGTGTCGAGCAGACTAACATCAATAAAGAAAACAGATCTGGCTGTCCTCAGATTTTACTGAGCAGAAGATTGAGAACAATTTCTAAACTCTGCCTCAGTGAGCAGGAAGAGCTGCTGCAGGGTTAACCGCTCTCTCCATCCCTTTTTTCCTTGCCTGGCTTTTTTCCCCTTCCTCTGAGGAGGCGGTACAAAGGGGAGCTACTCTTGGCTAAAATGTGAGGTGAAGAGAAACCAGCAGGTTCGACCTTAAGTAGTGTAAAAGTTAAGCTTAATAGAGACCTTTTGAAACACCATAAACAGAACGGGTCGAACAGAAATGTATCTATGGTTACAAACCAAAACCCAGGAAAATAAAAAGAACATGCCAGCCTTCTGAATAGCCTGTATTATTGGTCTTATATTCACCCACAATCAGCAATTAGCCTTTTATTAAGGCAACAAGTTACAACACAAGGTCTTAAAGCAGGGGTGTCAAACTGGTTCCAGAAAGGGCCGTGTGGCTGCAGGTTTTGCATACCAGACTCCAGTCATCTCATCAAGTGAGTCCAATCTGAACATGATGACTTGATGAGATGACTAGAGTCTGGTATGCTATTGCTTGGTTGGAAAGAAAACCTGCAGCCACACGGCCCTTCCTGGAACCAGTTTGACATCCCTGCCTTAAAGAATTACAGCATAGCCTAATATTGCATACATTTTATTTGTGAAAATAGCCTCGATCTAAAAAGCTTGTTAAGCCCAATTTTTCCGTAAAAGTTCAAAAAAATCCACTGGACTTGGTTTCCAAGATTTGAAGACGTTCGCCACCTCTCCAGGAAGCTTTCTCAATTCAAATGTTTCTCAAACAGACATTTGAATTGAGAAAGCTTCCTGGAGAGGTGGCAAACGTCTTCAAATCTTGGAAACCAAGTCCAGAGGAACTTTTTTTTAAACTTTTACAGAATGACTATGACCTGGATGACTGAGAATCTTCATCAGCTTAAGCCCAATATGAACAAATACTTGAAGAATTAATTTCTAGCATATTTTTGACAAACTAAAAGGGTGGGGAGGCCATGTGGAGGCGTTTTTATTGACAAGACATGAGCAACTGAAACACGTGCTCCAGCCAGCAGATGCAGAAGGGAACGTTGGTACCCGGCTGGTACCAAACCGCACAGCACTAGCCCATGTGGAATGCACTTACTGACGGCCAAAACACTGACGGGTGGAGGCGGGGCTAAAGCTGCGTTCACATCGAAAGCATGTTCTGTAGCTACATTCTGTAGCTAGCGAGTAGCTCATCTACTTTGATAAGTTGGAGAGATAGTTTTAACATATTTTCAAGTAAGAAAGTCCACCTCAAAACCCCAGCTGTGCAGTCAGTTCATCAGGATTGCTAAAACGTGCAGTTCTTGGTCGGAGAGTCAGACCTCCAGAGCTGGCCGGTGTTCTGTCAGACCAACATACCCATACTCAATACGCATGCAAAAGACATCAGATTTGCGTTTATCCCTTTAGTTTTGTACAAAAAAAACAAACAATTCATTGTCAGATTGCCATACACTTCAAAAACATCTAAAAGTAAGTAATGAAAAAGTTATTTTGTACATGACTAAAGGGATACACGCTTATTGAGGTAGTTTAGGGATACAGTATTTAGGGATAAACTGGTATTGACAATGGGTTTGCTGGTCTGATGGGGTATGCTCATCTGACAGAACACCGGCAGCACTGGGAATCCCCACTGAAAGCTCTCAGCAGTCTGTGCGGGATTTCCTTCTGCTGTTCGCAACATCTGGAATAAACTAGAATAGAATTCAACTTTATCGTCATTATACCGTTACAAGTACCAAATAACAAAATGTAAAACAATATAAAGAGTTTTTAAGGTTAATGGGAAAAACTGCAAGTACCAGAAACAATAACAGCTTGCATATAGTGTCCATCTTCCCAGACAAACTCCTGTATCAGCTTTTCCAATTGGTTTATGCTCTGGTATCAAGTGGAAAAAGGTTAAATTGTTGGAACTCCAGCGTCCGATGCTCGGCTAACCGATGGTCACACGTCAGAACACCCGGGTACCCTGATTGACGCCATCCTCCATAGACTTTGCATCTAAATCAGAGGCTTTTTCCTCACAAAACGTGTTTGGTGTGAACGCAGCTATAAAGCAACAGCTGAAACAGGTTCTATGGAAATGTATGGAGTGAATTTTGTTCCATTACTTTTCAAGCAAATAATATATTATATGTTTAATATTTGTTTTAAATTTCTCCTTTTCAGATTGAATTTCACCTAATTTAATCATTTTTCAATTGTGGTTTTCAGATCACCTTCTCTCCACTTCTGGGGACGAGCTTTCCTCTAAAGTGAGAACCAAAGATGTATTTGTATTGGTCTGAAAGGATGTCAACACTATTGGACAAGAATTAGAGCTTTTATTGGATTTAACGGGGCAAAACGGATGATCTGTGAAATGCAATTTGAACATGCCATTCGTAAAACTAAATTTAAAACAATTAAAATTTGAAAAGTAAAATATAAAATTAAAAAATATATGAAAAATTAGAAAAAAAACTCAAAATTAAATGTGATAAAACAGGTAAGTTAATCTCAAAACATTTTTTATAATTAAAACATTTCAAAGTTTAATTTCTGGAATTGCAATTTGTTTTTCAAATTTTAATTAACTGAAAGTGTTTTTTTCAAATTTCTATTTATAAAATGTGCCTTTTTTTGTTTTTGAGGTTTTTACAACACTAATGACTCATTTATTGTAAAGTGGGCAGACAGAAAGGGAGAACAGGAGAGGGGGAGAGACATGGTTAGGGACCACAGGCCGGGTTCGAACCGATGTTGGCCATGTCAAGGACTATGGAGGCCTCCATAGATGGGTCTGTGCCACTGAGTCACGCCCCAAAATGTGTTCTTTGTTTGCAAAAATAATGGAACAAAATTCGCTGCATGCAGAATTTAGCAGGTTCAACCTCGTGCAGTAGAGCCATGTGCAGCAGCGAATGGAACAGGGTTCAAACCGACTGCAATGAGAATGACCAGCTGGCTTTAAACTATCCATTATAAATGTTATGATTTTTGGAGTGGAATTAACTGAATCTCTTCATATGACGTATTTCCCACATATGGCTCTTGGCATCTTTTAGATAAACTGAACTAAAACCATTAAAGAGTGAGACTTCTCTCCATCTGTTCCTATCTCTGTCCCTGCCTCACTTCTCTCATCTGTTGCTGGATCACAGGTGCTGTTGTCATGGCGATATAAGCTGATGTAAATGAAGGGGAAGCAGAGAACAACGTAGTTATTTTACCCCACCCCCATCAGGGCTGAGTGGGTGTGAGGGAAAACCAACTCTCGATGTGACAACTCGACACATAAGAGCTGACCTCCAGCTCCGGCTCCTGAACTAAAGCTCTAGAATGTGTGGTGTGACGCGTCGTCATACGTGGATCCAGCCCAGAGTCAGCAGGTTCTGTTGATCCTGGAAGCCGAATAGCTCCTCCACGTTCTCCATGTCACAGAAATCTGGTCCGGCCGATTGCTTTGGGATCACCACATGCGTCAGCAGGAACTCATTGTGGGTCTGAGAGACAAACATTCAGAGGAACAAGTTCTGGTTCTGCTGCCTGTTTTTTTTTTTTTTTTTTCCCTCTGTGAAACCCGGAAACTCACCAACCGCCCGCAGAGGACGCCACAGGTTTCTATTCCTCTGGCTGTGTTTGAGTCAGCCAGCAGGAGGAACCGGTATGTCAGGTCTCTGGGGATCACCACCCGCCTCAGACCCTCCACCCTCTGACCTGCACAGAGGAATCAAACTCACACCAAGGCCTCGGAGCTACGAGTCTCTGATGGCCCTGGAACCAAAGCTGCAGGTCTGATCGTGAACCAGCATGCCATCAGACAGGTCTAGCTGTGCAGCTGCTTCTACTCACTGTGTACTGCTGCTAAGGCGGCAACTGGTTGGTTCATGGTCACAGACGGCCGGTTCTTATTCGGATCCACCCCCTGAGAATGCGCGCGGCTTTTGATTGGTTGCCTGGATGGACAGCAGCCATCTGTGACCTCAGGCACTTTAGTCTGCTCCTGCAGGAGAAACCACAACATCCAGTACATAACCCCATAAAACCACTACACAGTATAACAGACTATGCACAGAGTACAACAGTTTAGTACAGAGATCACTATGCTGCACTGTAAATGACCATAGAAAGGTAAGAACTGCACGCTACAGCACAGGTCCCTAAATATTTCAGCCTCTAGACCCCTTTAATACATGAAACACTTTCCTCTCCATTTGTTTATGAATCAGAAGTAAGGATAATTATATCATTTTTTTATATAAAAAGAATAATTATAATAATAAATAAAGCAATACTAACTTTTCGCCACTAGGGGCACTAGACCTGTAACTCTGAGGTGTTAGTGGCCTAGTGGAGTTCCTGGTAAAAGGACATTTTCAGCGCTGTAGTATAATATGTCTGATGAGATTTAGTTTGAAACTAACGATTATTTTGCAGATCGATTAATCCGTTTATATTTTCGATTAATAATCAGATAGCCAAAGGTTCCCTAAAGAAGACTTCTCCACTTGAGGAGTTCTGGATAGAGCTCGTAAAATATTTATTATTAAACAACATTTTGGTATATTTTCTGTTGCTCTGTCAGCTAAATACATGTTTTAGACTACACTCCAGTTCATGAGTAACCAATTTCTAAATTAGTTGATTATTTCAATAAAAGATTAATCAGGATTAATCCAGTTGTTTCAGCTCTAGATCAGATAATGGTCAGACCTGTTTTGTTAGTTAGCTCTGGTGTTTAAGCGAAGCTCAGGCAGCTGTAGAGAAACGCTCTGGGTCACCTGAGTTATTCAGCGGCGGATCTGATCCTTTCAAGCTAGATAGACATGTTTCTGAGAAGGGATGCCCGCATGGAGCATCGATATGCTCCAAATGCAGCATATTGATCTGAAATATTTATTTCATCTCTGATTAAGCCATTGTTACATTTTGTTTTTATATCATTTAATAAGGTCTCTGTTTGGAAAATATTTTAGATTAAATAATAAATATGACATCTTATTACATGGTGCATCTATTTATTTCTATGTATTTATTTATCTATATTATTTCTATATTTTGGTCCACCACATACAGCACCTTTAGCTCCGCCTCCTCCTTTTTATTAGCCAGCTCCTGACGTCTCAGCTGGTCCTCAAAGTAGCGGAACTGCTCCGACTCGATCTGCATCCGTCGGAGGGCGGCTACTCGCTGCTTCTCCTCCTCCAGCAACAGGATGCGCCTCCTGTCTTCCTCCAACAAGGTGAGCCGCTGCAGCCGCTGACCACACCCATCCACCGCCACCGACTGGCTCTGAGGAAACAGCTGGATTTAGAGCTGAGCCTAAACACAATTCACACCCTAATCAAAAAATAAATAAATAAATAAAACCATGCACCCTGAGGTACTCTGAGTGCTCCCTGCTGTACTTCTCCTGAAGACGTTTCTTCAGCTCCTCTTTCCGAGGAAAAGCCTCCTCCTGGAGTTTCTGCAGACACAGAAAGCAAACATGAGCCAGAACCCAGGTCAGAACCTGGATCAGGGCATGGGCCATAGAATATACTCTAGAGCAGGGGTCACAAACGTGGTGCCCGCGTGCACCGAGGGGCCCTCAAGGACCACATGGGGTGCCCTTAGCATCTTCTTAAAACAGTGGACTAAGTTTGAAATTTTATTTTTTGTCATTTATAGAGCATTTCATCATATAATAATTTAGGACATTAAAGCATTCAATTACCTAAAAGAAAATTAGAAATGAAAATAATCAATAGAAATACGTTTATTAGCTATAAAGTTTAGGTGAATGCTGACTCTTCCAGTTTATAGGTCAGTATTGGTAGCCCGTCCTGTGACTCAGTACCCATGAAGTAGCCCTCAGTCTTAAAAAGGTTTGAGACCCCTGCTCTAGAGAATTTGAGTGGGTTTGAGATGGTACCAGTTAGTAAAGACCTGTCCTTTCCCAGACGGTCCCCTCCTACAGAATAGAGTTTGCTCTTAAGCAATCATTTCAATCTGCAGGTTTACTAGTGGTTCCTAGAATTTCTAAAAGTAGAATGGGAGGCAGATCTTTTAGTTCTCAGGCTCCTCTCCTGTGGAACCAACTACCAGTTTTAGTCCGTGAGGCAGACACCCTGTCTACTTTTAAGGCTAGGCTTAAAACTTTCCTTTTTGATAAAGCTTATAGTTAGAGTGGCTCAGGTTATCCTGAGCTATCTCTATAGTTATGCTGCTATAGGCTTAGACTGCTGGAGGACATAGGGACCCCTTTTTCATCATTCTGCTTCATTCTATCTCTATTCTCCCACTCTGCAGAATCTGTTAGTTCAATCTCTAACCTTCTGCTCTCTCTGCTTTTCCTCATAGTAGCTTAATCTGGTCTGTTCCTGTTTGGCTGTGACTCCATCCTGGAGAGAAATATCAGCTGTGCTGCTGCCATCAACACCTTATTTATAGATGACATCGGCCTGTTTTCCAGTGTAGTCCTGTTTCTCTGACTGTGACTAACTGGATGTGCTCTCTTCATCCTCTGGCATGGGAGCTGGCTCGGAGCTCGTCTGCCTGGCTGTGAGTTTCCTGGATGGGGACGCCTTTTACAGCTGCTTTTTCTATGTCTGCTTCTGTCTCCTTGAACCCCAGTCGGCCTCGGCAGATGGCCGCTCACACTGAGCCTGGTTCTGCTGGAGGTTTCTTCCTGTTAAAAGGGAGTTTTTCCTCTCCACTGTCGCTACAAGCATGCTTAGTGTGAGGGATTGCTGAAGAGTCAATGAGTCGATGCAATCAACTGGTTTTCCTTAGATAGAAAACTTTGAATCATTTTGACTGGATGATCTGGTGACTGTAAAGTGCCTTGAGATGACATGTGTTGTGAATTGGCGCTATAGAAATAAACTGAATTGAATTGAATTAATTTGAGAGCTTTCTCATCAGCAGCTTTATTCCACCAGACACTGCTAACTAACTCAGGTCCATAACAGTTAACCTGGACCTCCTGCTGTTTTCCTGAAGGGCTTATCCAGCGGTTATTTTCATGGACTACCGTCCTGCCAGACGTTCTTTTAAAGCACCTCAGAGAGCAAAATGTCAGCAGCCATCCTGTGCTGTGGTAACGGCTGTTAATAATGTCCTATCTAAATGCAGAGTCTTGAACACAGCCATTTAACAGGGTTGTGTCATTTCAAAAGCAGGAACCTCTCATCATGATGACATGCTGTCGGTCCCTGGTCCCACTTTCAGGACATTGACCAGCTTTCCAGGTTTTAGGAAAACTTTGTGGATCTCAGTGTCACCATATGGTCATGTCTGGGTGGACGGCTGGAATCAGCAAACGTCAGACCTTCTGCCACGAGGGGGCAGGAAGTGAAGCAAATCCTTTACTTTAAACACCTAACAGCAGTTTAGACAAAAAAAAAAAAAAGAGCTTAATTGCTTGATTAAATGTTAAACGCTGACTGCTTATAGAAAGGTTGGAGAGGTTCTCTTTTTTAAGGAAGCCCAATAATCTTTAATACAATTACAATTAGTGTTGAAGGCACTCATTTAAAGTGTCCTATCTTAACATGGTATCCTGCGACTGGAAGCTTAGCCAAAGACAAAAACAAGTTGAGTCGGGCAGTTAAAAAGGACGGTAAAATAAATGCTCTACAGCAAATGTTTCAACTGGATTTAAATTAATGGGCTTTGAGGAAAAAAGGAGTCAAATCTGCAGAAACGATCCTCTGCAATCCTCTAAAGCTGCTGCCATCTGGCAGGAGAGCGAGAGCCCATTAACAAAGACAGACAGGTATTCAGGATGGTTCCCTCAACTGTGACCAGCCTGAATATTTCTAGTTAGTCGCTGCTTGCATCACTGAACGTCTCACCGTGTTTAACATAATGTGTTTATTTTCAGTTACCAATGTGTGCATCGTTTTTCACCATCCTCTGTTCTTCTAGGTCTGCTCTTTAATTCTGTGGTTTATCGATGAACATTTAGCCAGATCCAATGCGTCTGCATCACAGGAAAGTTATCACATCTTTAAAATGTTGAATTAAATGACAGTCGTAATAATACACCATGTCAGATTGACGTTAATAGTATCTTACCAATAGTACCAATAGTATCTTTACCTTCTCCAATATTCAAAGAATAACCCATTATTTATAGAGTAGATATTGACATTTTTTGTTAACCAAAAAGTTAATACTGATGATCAATGTAGTAATTTCAATGTGGCCCGCATAAAATAGTTTTTATTTTTAAAACAAACACTGCCATTCCTCCATCAGTACTTAGTGACTGAGGGGAGTTGGAGCAGCAGTTTGGTTACAGACAGCTGCTGAAGTTTTCCTGGATTACGATACAGCTATGCTTTCATGTTGTGTCGCAGCTTTTTGCTTCAGTCCCCATAAGGATGGTGTCGGCTTATTTAATTTGCTAAGGATCTGCAGCTGCTTTCAAGTGGAGGAATCAGGGCAGACGAGATCAGGAGAAGTTGGAGCACTCCACAGTGTCTCTTCCTTGCTTGGAACTAGGCTTGTCCCGATCCGATACGTGGATCGGATCGGGACGCCGATATTGGCAAAAGAATACGTATCGGCAAAGAATGTAAAAATGCCGATCCAGACTG